AAATGTATGACCTCAGATTTGAACCCAGGTCCTCCATCCAGCACACGCCTTCTTTTACCATCTGAGCTAATTGTTCAATCTGGATAAAGGAAAACTAATATTTGAATCCTGTAAGTTTTGTTAGTTTCAGGGCCAAACGAAAAGTGAAACTCTGGACTGCTTCGATTTGCAAATGTCTATGCCATGAGTTTCGATTTGTTAAACCATTTATAAATAACAAGAATAATATGAAAATGCAATCCACATGAGTTTACATTGTAGATTGAATAAGATTAAAAGCTTTTACCCACTGAAGATACTTCGATTTGGAATCCTGAACGTGGGATGACTGGTGCAACTTTCTGGGCTTTCTTGGAGGCAAGCTATGTAGATGTCCTTCGATAGACAAGGCTTCCTTGGTGTAGTATGCGTGCGTCTTCATTTTGTGTGCCTCTTGTGTAGTTTTTTTTCGTGTACCTCCCCCGATTTGTGTTTGACATCTTGTATTTATAGATGGTGGAGGAGACAAAGAAACATGACATTAAAGACCAACCATTAACAGGGCTTTGAAAACAGAATCAGACAAATTAAAATATTTCCATTTTGAGATATTTCATGCCATTCTGCGATTCTGAATGAACTTGGACATGTCAATTTGGCTCCTTGTTCGAATTCGAAAATGTTCAGAGTTTCCCTCTTCAGAGCCCCTTCGATCAGCCCTTGTTCTTGTGATGATTCTAAGTCCTGATTCGAATTGCCCAGAACCTCCCTTATCAAAACTTCTTCGATCAACCCTTGTTCTCTTTGATGGTTCTGAGTTCTGATTCGAAATATTCAGAACTTTCCTCATCAGAACATTTTAGATTAAGACACCTCTGCACTAATATGTCATTCGAAGGATACTTTGCTCTGATATGCCAATCGAAGGACACTTTGTTCTGATGTTTCAATCGAAGGAAACTCCGATGTCCCAATCGAAGGACACTCTGATGTTCCAATCGAAGGACACCCCGATGTTCCAATCGAAGGAAACTCTGATGTTCCAATCAAAGGAAACTCTGATGTTCCAATCGAAGGAAGCTCTGATGTTCCAATCAAAAGAAGCTCTGATGTTCCAATCGAAGGAAACTCTGATGTTTCAATCGAAGGAAGCTCTGATATCGCAATCGAAGGAAACTATGATGTTCCAATCGAAGGAAGATCTGATGTTCCTATCGAAGGAAATTCTGATGTTCCAATTGAAGGACATTTTGTTCATCTTCAAATTTACTTTTCTCAAGCAAATGTTTGCAACCATCCATGTAAGAGAAGATCTTGAAAGAAAATGAGAGGGCAAATTTTGGGGTACAACACACTCAAATTTGATCTTGATATCTGAAGATGATACGAGGTAGACCTATTGAATTGAATTGTGGAATTGAGATCACTCAAAAATCATAAAAATCGAAAGATTTATGGTATTTGAGAGATGATGGACAAATTTGGGGAAATTTACAAAAGACCTATAATCTTTTCAAATCTTCAACAACTTTCCAAGCATATTAAAGTCTTGTACATTGAAACAAAGTTGTAGTAGACATCCCAAAGATTTTTATGAAAAAATAATGGGCTCAGGGATATAAAAATTGACCAAGTTATGATCATTTGAAGTCAAACTCTAAAATTCAAAGGCTTTTCAAGGAGACTTGTAATCTTTCTCAACCATTAGTGATCTTCCATTAAAAATTAGCCTTAGATTCACGAAGAGAGCTTGTTAAGTACCTTTTAAAGAGAATCATGACTTTAGAGCCAATCAAAAATCTTAAAAAATGAGCAAGATATGGTTCTTAGGATTCAACAAACCCTAGCTCAGAGAGTGTCAAAATGACTTGAAACCCCTTTCAAATTTTGATGATTTTTATTGAACAATTGGATCTTGTCATGTGAATGGGAGTTGTTGTATATGATAATAAGAATCCATAGAAAAAAGAAACAACCCAAAATGTTGAAAATTGAGAGAGTTATGCACATGTGATCACTGAATCAAACATTTGCTCAATTAGGTCAAACTTGTTGAATCAACCTTGAACCTTTTTGAAATTTCTTGGAAAAGTAAAGCATGATAAATCAAAATAGGTTTTGAAATGATGTTGTCTTGAAGTAGACTTAAAGGTGGAGCTAAAGTCTCAATAAAAATTGTTGAAAAAAGCACGGAAATAAACACATGAACCTATGAATCTTCTTGATGAATTCCACCACCAACTTTGAGGAAAGTTTGACCTAAATAGAGTGAGAGAACTCTTAGAACCACAAATCTTTGATGTCATAGACATAACCTTGATGCTTGAAATATTGAAATCCATTGAAGAGCCATTCAACTAAGGACCACCCCTCAAACCCTAAGTTAGATGATGAGATGAATGCAGTTGCGTCATCACCTACAATATGAACATTCAGAGAGACATATTTACATATTTTGATGTTAGTTAAAAGAACACATATACAAGATACACACTTCAAGGTGTTTGGTTATCCCTCAAGAGAAAACTTAAATATAGAATAAAGTAGAAAGAGAGAACCAACCCTAATGCGTGATCTTGATGTATTGATGATATGATAGATCTTAAGGGCAAAAATTGGGGTATAATATTGGGCTACCTTACAATAATACCATTTATTTCATGTCATTTACGTTATGCTTTAGAAAAGTCTCTTCATCTCTTCCCCTTCTTTAATTTTCAAAATCTTCTCTCTATTTCAAAACTTCTTGTTTTCAAACTTCACATCTTTTATTAAAAAAACTTTGACTTTGTCAAGTGCTCCCGGAAATCTTTTTCTTAATAAATTCTAAAACACTTAAACATATTCAAACTCCTTTCAAAACACCTAAAAAAGACAAACCCCATGAAACTTCTTTTTGTGCCTTAGTGCACTTTTTCTTTTCAAATCAGACCTTTTTCTGAAAGAAAGGATATTAGACTATTCTTGAAGTGATGAAAATTCCTATACTTCTACAGTATGTTGTGAAATTGATTGACATTTTCCACTTGAATGTTGAGAAATACTTGTTGAGTAAATCCAATTAAAATTCTCCATATCAAGATGATGCAAATGCTCATTTCCTCATACTTGTGGGTAATAAGTTGAGTTTTCCACTCGAATACAAGAAAAATGTCTTTTACACCTAAAATCAATCAACAAACAAAAGTTCATTTCGTAAAAAAATACAAGTGGTTCCTATGGAGTACCATAGATGTGAGGGGGGCTAATATATTCCTCTTGCATAACTAACCCTCGTACCTAAATCTCTCTTTTGTTTTGATTTTCAAAACTTTTTATGGTTTTTTTTGATCTTTTTCCATTTGGAAACAATAAAGTTTGGTGGCGACTCTTACTCTTTTTTTTTTCTGAGTTAAGTTAATCAATAGCTTAATCTCAATTTTCCCGCCGCGACACTTATACACCATTGCAAAATGGTGTTGTTGAACGGAAGAATTGCTCTATCATGAACATGGTAAGGAACATGCTAAAGAGAAAGAACTTGCTGAAAGAATTTAAGGGAAAAGATATCCTACAAAGAAGCTTGAAAATATCACACCAGAGGAATCCTGGTCCATATTTTAACCGAAGATGAGTCACTTGAGAGTTTTTGGTTCGGTGGCATATCGACATGTGCTGGATCAACTTTGAAAGAAGCTGGATGACAATACTTATAGGGTATCTCTCTACCGGTGGTTACAAGTTGTATGATACAATAAAAAGAAGGACAATGATAAATAGGAACGTCGTTTTTTACGAAATAAAGAAATTGTCGCAACCTGTAACTGGTTACCAACATGATGTAACTGGTAAAAACAATGAAAAAGTGGTCCATGCAGTGTTTGCAAGTACATAAACAATTTCCGTTGAAGCCTAAATAAAATAGAAAACGGTAGTGACACTCACTTCTTGTAAGACATAGTATATTGCGCCTTTGTTGTGTGCTCGCCATGCCGTATGGTTGATGAATCTGTTGAAAGAGTTGGGTTGTGAAGAGGATGAAACTGTAATGCTCATGGTTGACAACGTTTCCATTATAAACCTTGTTAAAAATCTCATTGCGCATGGGAGAAGCAAACATACTGAGATGAGATTTCACTACTTGAGAGAATTTGTTAGTGAAAGAAGATTGAAGTAGGTGTATTATATAAGTGAAGACCAAGTGGCCGATTTGCTGACTAAAGGAGTGTCGATTGAAGTATTCAAGAGATTGAAGAAGTATATGGGCATGAAAAACTTAGATCACATGAATTAAGGTGGTGTGTTGAGTGACAAATGTAATTTCATGTGCCTATAATCGATTACTTCAGGTACTCCTGAAACATAATGGTTTGGTTACTGGTTACACTATGTCCTTAACCAGTTACACTTGAAACAAAAATATTGATAATTGGTTACTTCAAAACTGTAACCGGTTACAACTCTAATTTTTTCTTCTAGTTTGTTTCTTGTATCTCACTATGTAAAAGGTTCACCATTTTTCACCCACAATAATTACTCTCTCATTCTCTCTCTCTCCACAGTCAAAATCACCATTCTTGTAATTCATTGTGCCTAACAATTTACTCTTTGATTATTCAAATGCACAGAGAATAGCCTATGTTGTTGGTATTATATTCTAACTCCATTAAGGCCACGGTTGTAATCCAAAGATGAAGATAACATCTAGCCTAGTCAAAATCACAATATTTTGCTTGTATATTACTAAACGTATAATTTGAGTTCTCTTTTAAAATCCCCTCGTTTTCTGGACATGGATTGTTCCATAAGTTTATCTGAATTTTATATTCTCTAGTATAACTATTTTTTTATGGCAATGCTTTAACTATTATACTAATTAAAGGGAAAAAAAGGACGAAAAGTTCCTAGTTTGGTTACATAATTCTTCATTTTGAAACTAGTACAAATCGATCAGGTACAATTAGTAACATATTCAAGAAATTAAGTGAAGTTAAAAACATTAGCATTGAAATACAACAAAAATGACAAGAAAAAAAGAAATCTTAGTTAGAATTAGAAGGCTGAAATCTTACTCCAGGCAAGTACCTAGAGACAAATTCTCTAGCCAAAGCTTGGAGTTCATCATCCTCAAGTTGTTGTTGATCTGATTGATTGAAGAAGTTACTCAAGTCCAATTGATGAGGATCAATGTGCATGGACATGTAATTAGAGGCACTCAACATGTCTCCATTTGTTCCTAGGCGATCCGAGGAAGAATGTAGAGTTGGCGAAGAGTTTTGCGGAGTCGGAAGAGATGGAGATATCAAGACCGGGACGCGCTGCATCGTCGCAAGAGTTCCTTGAACATAGGTTAACTCTGTCTGCAAACTCATGACCTACAACATATAAGGTCATTCGATTTTAGAATTCACTACAGAAGTTTGACACATTCACACATTTAGAATATTGTTGATCATTCGAATTTGATCAGAATATTTAAATAAAAATAAATTTTATTTTTACTTTTATAATTTTTTAAATATAAATAATTCGATTATAATCAAATGATTATCAATGTCTCGAATATATCATTCTTTAAATTTTTGAAGAGAAAGGACTATCATTTTTCTTATTAAAAATGATTTTTTTTAATCATAAAACATATCACTAGTAAAGAAATGTTAGAGATGAATAGATAGAGATTGATACATGTTGCATACTCTAAATTATCTACATGCACTTGAAGAATATTCTTATTTGAAATCAAGAGATAAGCTTCAATACGTTATTTTGACTATTACATTAATGCTATTTGTTTAATTGCATGAAAGAAGACATAATCAATCTTATCCAAACAAAATTTACTTTTTCTATAATTGGGTAGAGAATCAAGAAGGGACTACATAATTGGTATTTGTTTGGCAACTAATCACTTAGACAATGGAATCCTGCCTAATTATAATTATGAAATCTAAAGACCAATAGTTAGAAAGAATCTGAATTTGAATTTTGGTGTAATATTTGTCCAAATGTATCATAGAAACTAAAGGGTCAACACTAAAAAGAAAAGATTCATTGATGAATATCTCAATTATTGCACCTTTGAACTTAGATTATACAATGAGTGTATTCTCAAAGATAAGCTATAAAGGTTTTCTATTGTATCACACGCATAAAGATCATGCAACTAAGATCAACTTGTCAAAGCAACATTAATATGCTTTTAATTGAATTATTTTTAATATATGCAACAAAGCAAAAAAATTTAGTGTCTAACTTTGACCCTCTAAGTTATGTGTATTTCGAAATTATAGTTTTTAAAATATTTTAATAATTAGAGTTTTTTCTAATCTCAAGGTCATTTTGTTTAAGTTTTTTCTAAAACTAATCCTTTTAGTTATATATTTTTATTTAAATTTGTATAAAAAATTTAAATAAGAATTTGATTTAAATGATTATTTATAAAGCTATTTTGTTATAAAAAAATTTATATAACAAAATTTTAAAAAATCAATTAAATTTAAAGCTATTTGAATAATCTTTCATAAAATTTATTTTTAGGATATGTTATTTTAAAATATTATGTTATGATGACTATTATTATCGTCAATAATATATATAGTATTTTCTCAAAATTAATTTTTTTAGTTATAAAAAAAGAATTTATTTATTTTAGTATTTTTTTAATTTTATTTTTAAAATCAGTTTTTAAAATATAAATAAAATTTTAAATTTCTAAAGTTAAAATAAAAACCTTAGTAATCATAATTTACTCTAAGTATTTGTATAGTATAATAGCCCCTATTTCCAAAGTATTAAACTTATTATCTCACTCCCGTTAGAGAAGTTCTATTAATAAATTTCAGCCACTAGAGTATTAGAGAAAACTATATTCATTTTCTAAAATTCTACATCTATTTTTAATCGGGACAAAGTGAAATCTCAATTATGTAACTTTTTATACTATAAAATACACAGAGATTATAAGAGTCACAACTTGGAAAATATTGCAACTATGTAATATACAAATATATTTAGAGTAATTTAAATTACGTGTATCAAGATAGTGAAAGTCTATATAGAAAATATTTGAATATTTCTCGAGCTCCTAATTATCTTGCTTGTTAGCTCCGGCAAGCAACAGACAACCCTTCGTAGTCCGCCACACCAACTTGGCAGCTACCACCGCCCACCACCCCACTCTCTTAAAATATTACAACACCTTTTTCACAATGTTTATTCTTTACAAACTATATATATATATATATATATATATATATATATATATATATATATATATATATATATATATATATATATATATATATACTTGACTATACTATACATTACATTGCCCTTAGACTTTGAAGTACAATAGCTACCGCCTTAGACTTTGAAGTACAATAGCTACCTACACTTATAGGGGTACCCTAATTAAATAGTAATAACATATAAATATTTACTCTTTTTGTACCGATTTATAAGTAAATTAGATATTTTTAGTATATTTGATAATTAATGTATGTAGTTTATATAAACTAGATACATTAACTATCAAATATACAAAAAAAAAAAAAAATTAAATTTACTTATAAATAGTTAAGAAGAAAATAAAATATTAAAATTTACAAACGTGTGAAAGCAAATAATACATTTGTACTTGCTATTCAATATCATATCCTAAAGGGTATAAGATCTTGACCTAAGAGAAATACAAAATAGTGATTATTGTCAAACCACATTAACTACTAAGGTTCACAACTTCACACCATGGTGCACATTAGCATCCTCACTAGCCATCACCCAATAAAACCCTAATTTCTTCTTTGTTGAGTATTAAGAATACCATTAATACTATTTTATTTATAAAACAAATGCCACAAAACATTAAAAAAATATTAAACTAATGTTAGATTTTGTTCTATACACTTAAATTTGTCATCTATTAATTTCAAAATATGTGATTAATTAGTATTTAATTAGTTAAACTTCGAAGATTGTATAATTTTTTGTTTGTATGTGCAGAAACAATGATAATAACTAATAAAAATTTATATTCATAAAAATAAAGTCTAACATGAAATAAGATTTCTAATCTAAAAATATGACATTTTTTTAGTAGAAGTTAAGTATTTTTTTGCGCGCAACTATAAAAATTAATCATTCGAGTTAGAAAATATCATAATAGACGATAAAAATCTCTCTCAAAAGAATTTAATACTAGTATGTGTCTAAGATTGAGTTCGAAAAATAATATCGAGATTTGAATTAAGTCATACTAATACATGTCAATTTTTTAAGGCCATGTTAATGATGGAAATCAAACCCTAGACTATACATAAAACTTCTTCATTTCAATAGATTTCACCTAAAACATGTTTAAGATGATATCTAAGTGGTAAGATATTAAATTTCTTACTATTAACATAACATACTATTACTTATAACTAGCACTTATATATAACAAAAGTTGACCGAGTTAAAAGGATCAAAAGAAGGAAAAGGAAGAAACAAAGAATGAAGAAGAATGAAAGGAAATTGGAAATCCATACCTGTTGTTGAAGTGCAAAGATATGAGCAACACAACCATAAACAGGGTCTCTAGCCCTAGCAATAGCTTCATAACAAAGAGTAACAACAGCATCAAGACGTTTATGAACCGGAATACGCATGAGTAACTTAGAGGCATTACTAGCGCCAAACACCTTATGAACCGCTGCAAAATGAACCGTTCCTTGGTCAGAATCAAAATAGGGTGCAAATATGCAACCTTTTACACACTTTCTTCTTAAAAACTTGCAAGCACCACATGGCCCACCCCCACCACTACCTCTTTGATCACTTCCACCAATCTTTCCTCCATAATAATCCATCTTGGTTTCTCTATCTTTTTCTTGTTTAGGGTTGAACTTGAAGTTGAACCAAACTTTTGTGTGTCATGAAGAAAGATATGTATATAATGAGTAAGTTGATTTTGATATATGGAAATGAATATTAATGAGTGAATGCTTTTGGTGGTGAGTCAATCACTTGAAATGGACCCTCTCTATATTCACTACTAAAAAAAATTAACTAAATACTTAAAATTAGAGAATAAATTCTTTTGTTATTTCTTTCTCACATTTTTTTAGCACTTTATTGATGGTATATATATATATATATATATATATATATATATATATATATATATATATATATATATATATATATATATATATATATATATATATATATATATATATATATATATATATATGGTACTCTCATACTTCAATTCATGCCGACATCATTGATTAAATCATAAGATATCTTCGTCATCATATTCATATTTTCATTTAGGGTGTGTTTGAATGTAAGAAGAAATATTGTTTGACACAAAAGAAGAAGGAGAGAAATAGAAGAGAAAGAATTGTATTAAATTTACAAAAGGACTGAAATATCCTTATATTAAAAATATAATATTATTATATTAATTTAATTTCACATAGTAGACACAAGGAGCAGAAGGAAAGGAAAGCAGATAAGAGTGTTTGCGTGAAGCAAAGACAATGCAAGTTACACAATGGTGAGTGATGGAGTTAGAATGTAAGGTGACATATGCATCAACCGCCGCACTGGGAAAGCCACGTGGGACAAACATATGTCCTAGGAGTAGTAATTCTTATAACCTGTCACCTCTTACTTTTACTTTTTTGTTTTCTTTTTTCTGTTCCTCAAAATGACTGAATGAAAACAATCCTAAGGTGAATGAAACATACACTGTTTGTGCCCTGTGGTTCTGGTAATTAAAAGGGTTCATTTTCTTTCACTGCTTTGTGGCAGGCCCATTTCTATGGCAGGTTCTTGTCATTCCCTGGTTTTTCATCGAGTACGAGATTGTTTTCCTATGGGGTCACACTAGTGTTCTTTCTCTTTCACTTTTTCTTGTCGTTTCAAATTCAGTATTTTTTGTGTGGTGAATTTAAATTGTTTGCAAAGTATTTTTTTTTTTAGCATACAAAACTAGTGGTAAAATAATAAGAGATGATTCATTTCTCTCATTGTAAGTGTTCCGGTTAGATATTGTATTATTGTGGACAAAGTTGAAGGAGAAAATTCTAGTTACTTGAACAATGAGGAAATAAGCCAAGTTATGATCCCAAGTCCATAAGGACCTCCAAATAGAATATGATGAGGGAATACTCATCTCGTTGCTTCTAGACCATGGTGAAAAGGCAACGTTTTTAAAACTTAGAGTGCATCTTCAAACGCACCCTTTCAACTCACACATCAGTCCAAATTGATGAGATTTTTTTAATTTTGTTAAATTTTAGTTCGGAGATATATCTTTATATTGAGTCTGAAAGTGTATCTATGTAATAATCTTTCTCTTAGGTCAAACCAGAAACAATAGCAGAATGTTAGAAAAACAATATAAATTAATATTAAAATTACTAATATTATATAGATAATGATTAACGTAAATTTAACATTGCATTTCACTACAAACGGGTGGTTCAGGGCGTTGCAACATCTTTAGAATATTTTCGGTTGATTTTGTAATCGTCACATTAACTTCAATCATACCTTTGTTGAGTAACGATAAAATATACTCCACATAACCTTTAAATTCTCATCCATCTTCAGTTCAAGCTTGGTGAATCGTATCTTCCTTTCGTCAAGTTGAGCGATATTCGAGTTCACTATGCCAAACAAGGGATTAGACAGCGCTTTTTTAGGCCTTTAACAGCGCTTAAAAGCGCTGCTAAAACCTCTGCTGTTAAAGGTATAGACAGCGCTTTTAATGTGGAATTTTAGACAGCGCTTTTATCAAGCGCTGTCTATTCCCCCCCTTTAGCAGCGCTTTTCCTTATTATTTTTGAAAAAAAAATTTTCAATCACTTTAGACAGCGCTTTTATGGAAAGCGCTGTCTATTATCCCCCCTTTAGCAGCGCTTTTCCTTATTATTTTTTTAAAAAAAAATTTCAATCACTTTAGACAGCGCTTTCATGAAAAGCGATGTCTATTCCCCCCCTTTAGCAGCACTTTTCCTTATTATTTTTTTTTTAATTTTTTTTCAATCACTTTAGACAGCGCTTTCATGAAAAGCGCTGTCTATTCCCCATCCTTTAGCAGCGCTTTTCCTTATTATTTTTTTAAAATATTTTTTTTCAATCACTTTAGACAGCGCTTCTCATTAAAAGCGCTGTCTATTCCCTCCCTTTAGCAGCGCTTTTCCTTAATTTTTTAAAAAAAATTTTTTTTCATTTAAAACAACACGCTGCCTATCAAATTTAATCTCACCATTTTTGCACCAGAAATTATAACTTCATTATAACATTTTAAACAACAACAACATCAATATACCACAATGAAACAATATTATAACAACATCAATATTCATCTCTTAAATCCTTTTTGTACAATATACACAACAACAACAACATTAATATATACCACAATGAAACAATATTATAACAACATCAATATTCATCTCTTCAATCCTTTTTGCACAATATACACAACAACAACATTAGTATATACAACAATGAAACAATATTATAACTACATCAATATCCATCTCTTCACTCCTTTTTGCACAATATACACAACAACAACATTAGTATATACAACAATGAAACAAAATCAACGATGAATATATAACTCTATCTTCTACATCGAGCTGCACCTATATAACCTAAAACAAAATCAAAAAATCAAAATTCATACAAGTTACCAAATAACAACAACAAAAACAATAATATTGTAACACAACTATAACGACATATATTATATTCTCAAAACTCAAAGTTATACCTTATAATAAAACTCTCAACTCCATAACAAATTGGCACCAATCCTCCATAAGTTCATCCAATTGATCTTTTGAGTATGAAGCACACTTGAATTCATCAAAGTACTACATAATAATATAACATAGTATGATTTAATTAAAATACTAAGTCATTTTATGAGAAATATGAAAATAATTCCTAAGTTAGAAATTCATACCGTGGATGGAATCTCTAATCGGTCCAAAAGAATAGTTTCTTTCATAAACCTCAACATAAAATAACCGCAATCTACACCATTGCGCTGACGAGGACACTACACATGGAAAGAAAATACAGATATACATCAAGATATACACCTTAACTTATTTTATCAAGTATCATCGCTATATAATCAAAACTGTGAAAATCTATACCTCCAGTTTGATCCAAGAAATATTGTTGACTCTACTCATTGGTACTTGAATATCTCTTTGTGCTCGAAAACTTTGTAGAATGCTATAATAAAATAATAACGAATATTTAGAACTATCGCACATAAATAATTAAATATACACATTAATATTTTGGAACAATCTCACTTACGTGTCAATCGTCTTCTTCATATCTGGGTATGTTGTCCAATCATTGCCCAATGAATCCAGATAATATACAATTTCTCTCACATGATTAATTGCAACCAATAACTAGTGTCCACTGGAATATTAAACAAAGGTTAGATGGAAATTTTCTGCACAACGTTAAAAAACGAAAAATTATAATAGAGGTAATTTAGAATGAAAATCTTACTTGGGGCCAGTATTATATGGTAAAAAGAACAATTTTTCTATATCTTTGCTGGCCATAAATAAACTGAGCACAAATGCTATTACTTCATCTGGTTTTGAGATTATTGACCCTGCGTGGACAATGTTGGGATTTATGAAAGAGAATATGGACTCCAATCCACGCGGGCGAATCAACTTGTCAAACAGAAACCTTAAATAAAAACATCATTAACATTAATTATTCATTGAAATGAGTAAATAAATTCTGCAATTAATTAAACAAAGTTGATTGGAGTATACCTGATGTATGTATTGATAACAGCCATGCCTAATGTCAAGTGTCCAAAAACTTCTTCCAAATCATCCTTACCAATGGCTGTCATGCCTTCAGAACCATAAATCCCTTCATCCAGGGGTATAAGAGAAGTACCACCTTGCCACACGACCTATATTGTGAAGTAGTTTTCTTTCTAGCCCCGGTCCTCTTAGCAATACTCTTTGTTTCTGTGGGAATGTTGCTAATTACAGGCTCCTTACCCATACTTACAACTTCAATCTCTTTAGCAGGAATAATCTAAATATCATAAAATTAGAGTGGTCAAGTATAGGACGATAAATTAACATTATCTAAGCATAAATATCATATAATTGTGTTGTACCTATTTTTTTGATGTCACTGACTCCTTTGGCCGCGTAATCCCTGCCTCTTTTGGTTTGGGTTTTGTAGGAGTCTAACATTACCATGCAAAAAAAAGTAAGTAAAACGAACGTAAAAAATTTGAGTACTAAAAGGTTCATAACGGTTTTAATTATACCTCATCATCTATGCGAACAAGCCTTGACGGCCATGCAACAAATGCTCCTATTGCCTCTCCCACCAATGTTGCATCCGAAACTTCATCTGGGATTGGTAATAACGCACCCTCCTCTAAAGCAATATCAATCGACACTTTCAAATATCCATAAGGGAGCGGTTTATGATGAAGTACTTCTCCCAGAGTGTTATGGACTTTTCCCTTGCCAACCATGCGATAAGTTGGTGTCTCTAAAAAGAGTTGACAAGGTGAAATACCCTAAAATCAATAATAAATATGACATCGTTAATGTGTATATATGTCAGTTAAATAAATTACACTAATTTAATTTCATAATAATATATGTAAGTACCTCGGGAATACTCGGTTGAGCTGCACAATTGACACTAGCTATGTCACTAGCTTCTTTAACACCCGAAGCTTCCCTTTCTGATTGGTATTGTCTTGCTTTTTCCTTCCTCAATTTAAGAACTTCAGCTTCTAATGCATCCAACCTTGCCTGGAGTTCTTTATTGCTAG